TTTTTTATTTTTCTCCGATATCCGATCCAGTAATTTAGGTCAGTATCGGACCGATACCGATACGTAATATCGGATCGGTCCATCTCTAGTAGTTACATGTAAGGTTTTAAAAACTGAGCTTTAAAATGAATAACGGTAATTAAAACTGAGAGAGGCCGACAGTGATCACTGACTGTTTTTAGGGGCTCTTTGAGATTAAATAGAACAAGATACAAAGCATTAAAAAATGATAAAAACACAAAAGCCTTATTAAACGCAGGGTAGTTTGGGCCCGGAAGCAGGATTCATCACGTCATCACTTAAAGGGACCTGATTTCTTCCTGATGCTCTTTGAGGAGTCAAACACCTCCCCTGCATCAGACTTACTCTAACACCAGATGACCTACTGCTCAGTGATAGTTCGTTAAACGAGGCCCTCATAAAGCTGCAGGCACTGACGCTATTCCAGGACAGGTACCAGAGACTGTCCACATCAGCTGTTAGCGCCATGCATCTCCGCTTTGATCATGTGCTCAGATTCTGGGTGAAAGTGGTGTCAGCTCTAGTGGATGCTCTTTTCCAAAATATTTTGACTTCATCTTCATGCGTCCCACTCACATTTTCTGTCTTTCCCACAGGAGCCATTCGCTAATCAGTGAACTCTCGGTTAACCCATTCAGCAGCGCCCGACTGTGATGCTCCTAGCTGCCTTTTCTACTTGTCTCAAGAGAGCCACCAAGTTAAATTACATTCCTTTACTCCGAATGCTCTAGCGGACCTCTTTTGAGTTATCGACCCCGCATGCTGGAGTGGCTGTGAGTGCCGGCATTGATTGATGCTAGAAAAACGTCTTTCATATTTAAATGGTGCTTTTAAACAAGTTGTAGAAAAAGTAAATGATATAATAATAATAATTCACTTGTCTGCTCTTTAAGGTGGAAATTTGGAGGCAGCAGAAATAACTTGTGACATATCACTTTCTAAATAACTGTGTTGAATTCATTAGCTATAAGCAACTTTTAGAAAAACATTAGCCTTTATTGATGTTGTGTTTCTGGCAACCTAATGAATGGAAATCCAATACTGACTCTGCTTCAGGTTGGTTTTTGTCTCCTGAGAGAAATGCCTGTCTCCACTGTGTAGACCAGCCAATCTCTCAGAGTATCAATGAACTGCTTCATAATTTAGTGATATTTACGGTGTCTGCTGGATGCCAGCGAGTGCCTTCAATTTAAATTCTAAAGCTCTCCTTGGATGCTGCCACTCATTAATGCTTTGTGCTATTCAATATCAGGAGCTGAGCAAACGGTTATTTCAAAGCACCACAGGACTTCATAATGAAATGTAAAACACTGAGTAGGGTTTAAATGACTGCTTAAAGGGTATCAAGGTGATGCTGCAGGGGAAAACAGTGGTTGGAGCCTGTGGCATAACCAAAAATTACTAGCAATGTGCCGCGTACTTAAAATCTCCTTACGTTTGGTCGGCTTGAAGAGGGGACCAGGTCTGCAACCACTTGTGTGACTTTGGTGAATCAAGAACAGCAATAAGACTGAATCAGTTCGCTGTCAGTTTACAATCGAATATGTTAAACAATCGAATATGTTAAAGTTGGCAATTACATGCAATCTGTTTGTAACGATGATAAAATAGTGAAAATAGCAAATCTGTTGTGGGAAATGACCAAATTATGACCAAATCCTAGACTTTTATTTAAATCTTACATTCTTGTTTGCTGAATTAAACTAAGCTAATCCTCTTGAGCTGATAATCATTGTTTATCTGAACTGCTTTGGTTCTGATAGTGAGGAGATCTTTGGCACATATCCTGTGGGGATACTCTGCTTTTTTATTAGAGGAAGGACATAATCGAGGACACCTGTTCAGACGGCGCAAAATGAGGTGAGGAATGAAATCTCTTTGAAGGCATTGTTGTCGAGCATCGTTTATGACACATAAAGGAGGCATTTTCCTGTAGAACTGAACAAATAATTGATGTGCAGCACCTGTGTCAAATAATCATGTGAAATTAATACAGTTAACGAATGCAAAGGACCGGCCTCTGAACCCCAAAGCTACATTTAGTTACTCACGACTGACACAAGAGGGTGCTACATCATCTGTTCACTGCAGGCATGTTTGTTTTGTTTGTGAATGGGTGAAGGCTGAGCTGCAGAGGCTGGAGTAAATCTGCAGCCAGAATGATTTTCTGTTATGTAATGTGACAAAGCATTGAGCTCATGCTTGGGGTGTCTGAGGGTGAAAGTCAGCTTTGACATGTTGTGAACTGCACTCCTGGATATAGAGATTCACATACACGTAAGGGATTTTTTTTTTAACATCACAACTGCTTGGACTTACTTACACATAAATCCTGTAGCTAATGCTTTCTCTATGTGTGGCTCTCTGTAAACACTGATGTGCCATGACAGGAAGGGTCTCACCTAGTCTGGCATCAACATCACCGGGTCACGGTGTCAGCCAGATCCATACACAGTAATGATATAAGCGATCTGAGAGTGTACATATTTCCACCGCCACCTATAATTGTGTAACAGGTGGTAAGGAATTAAATAACATGTGAAAACATCAGGGTGTATAATTTGTACTCGGGGATGGGTGTATATGCACATTTAAACAGGTGGGCCTGCACAAATGAAACAATAAATGGGAAATAGTCTGCACTTGGATAGCTGCGTTTAACTAAAGCAAATTCTAATGTTTCTCATAGAGACACAAACAATTACCAGCTCAGCTGCCACACAAGGTGTTTGTGTGGCATCTGGAGAAACTTGGGATTCAGCGTCAACACTTAAAGGATCTGGAGATCAAACCGTCGAACACTGTAGTCAACAATGTTTCAGTCTATCACCTGAGCCGCATCCGCCCCAACAACATGCTTATGAAAATAAGATCAGGCCTTAAATCGAACCCTGGGGCACTCCACATGTAATGGAAATTAACAGGAAGGACATAACTGAGGGCAGCTGAATGATGTGTAGCAGTTAAAATAAAGCAATATGACACACGATCAGGTTTCCACCAGGATAACTGTTGCAGCTGCTGCAGCTGAGGCACAGTGGTTATGTGGTGCACTCAGTTCACGTAGCTCCATCTGTCCACTTTAACCTCTGATACTTGTAGTGCTTTGTTACTTAAAAAACAGTCCTTCATAGTTTTTAGTACTGTTTATGTGTAAAAATGGTTAACGAAAAATGAGGTACCTTATATAGCTTATAGCTAGTTATTCATTGTTGTTATTATTATTATTATTATTATTATTATTATTATTATTATTATTATTATTATAGCCCAGCCAATAATCTAAAGTTTGTAATAAGCTGGTGAAAACAAATCCAATTCACTGCTTTGGCTGTTCATATAGCACCAGTTCACAGCGATAGTCACCTGAGGGGCTTTATATTGTAAGGTAACAACATTACCATCTTACCAGCCTTGCAATATTTGTATAATATTGCAGGGTATTAAGATATATGTGTTGATTAGCGTAATGGAAACAAATTAAACAACGAATTAAAATCTGAATGCAATGGCAGTAGCAGGAGCACATTTAGATATTTTGGGGCCCGAGGGGAGAACTCGCCTTGGTCGGCCCCTCTACTCTTATTGTTTTCTCACTCTGAAAAACCAAATCAGTGTCTGGTGGTACGCTGAAATTTTAGAAAACAGGTGAAATCAGTTTTCTCATTTGGGTGTTTGCAGTTCAGAATTAATCGAGTGAGACTGATTTTCAGCACTAAAACATCTTGGAAGGGATTCACAAAGCGTCAATTCATGCCTCATTGTCCAGGTTATCACAGCACGTGACGCGCACAGACACACACGCACGCACGCCCACGCGCTCAAGGAGACACAAATTCACATGCGTCTGGCATGGCTGTGGATCGTCCCTCCCACTGACAGATGGATGGGGTTAATATCATAATTAAGCACCTCGGCCGACGGTTCCTGTTTACTGCTTGGTTGCTAGGCAGTGACATCAGCTGATCCCTCCCTCCTTCCTCTCTAATCCCTTCCCTCTCCCTCACAGTCCCTCTCTCTCTTTCACACACACACCACTCTTATGCTCTCTCTCTCTGATAGGCAGCGCAGACGTGGGCAGAGTGTGGGGGTATAGGAAGAGGAGAGAGCGGGAGGGTAGGTAGTAGTGTGTGTGAGGCTGTCAGACAGCATGGTCTGGGTCTGAGGACAGCACTGGAAGACAAAACAGCCGCCTACTGAACTCCATGTAGACCAGAGTGGTGCCATCCACAGATCACCTGGACCTGTCCACTCATCAGCACCCACCCAAGACAACACCTGCCTCTTCTAGAGAAGTAAGCGGAGTAGGACCAGGGAGGTGGGTCTGTTTATATTCTTTTTCTTTTATTATTTTCTCAGTTTTTTGGTTTTTGGAGTTGGCTCCTGGCTGGACCGCATGCATGACACAACGCAAAGGCGAGAAACCCACCATCAGCATCCAGGAGCACATGGCCATTGACGTGTGCCCTGGCCCCATCCAGCCCATCAAGCAGATCTCTGACTACTTTCCCCGGTACCCACGGGGCCTTCCCCCTACTCTGCCCCACGTTGGGCCCCTCCGCTCTGCCCTCTCCACCTCCTCAGCTTCTGCCTCCACGACTGCTGCTGCTGAGAGTGACCGCCCCAATGAGGATAACCCAGACCGGGCTCTTGCCGGAGCCTCCGCCTCCTTACAGGCCACCAAAAAGGACGAGGAGCCTGATGTGGAGGGATACGACTCAGATGACTCCAGTGAGTGATGATTTCCCCACTTGTCTCCATGCCACTGTTTACCACGGTGTTTCCTAACATTTCTACGTGTGTGTGTGTGTGTGTGTATCCCTTTCAGCTCTTTCTCTCTGCCTTTCTCTTATTACTGCATCTCCATTTTTGCCACCGGTTGCCAGGCATCCGTCCAGCCTTGTGGCTTTGTGGCTTTATCTGTCACCTTTCTCTTCTCTCAGCTCCCCCGTCCATCTCTTTCTATCTCCAGTCGCCTGGCGTATGTGCGCATGCTAACTCTTTGCCTCTCAGTCGACAGACAGCCAACTGTTGCTGCTGCAAAGAATACCGCTCCCCCTCCTTCTCCACCTCTTCAGCTCTCCTCCAACTGAAAGGATGTGTGATGTTATTGAAGTGAATGATTGCAGTCGTTGTGTGTGCATTTTCCTCTTCCCAGCGTCTACAGGGTGCCTGATCTATACTGTCGATCAGTCTCACCAGACTGCGTTTTCTCGGCTCCTTGATGAAGCCTCAAATTAGTCGCAGTTTTGAGCTCAGTGGGCTGCATCTGTAAAGCCCATCCACATTTTATACTGACTAGTGGCAAGACGGCCACAAAGTTCCTTTCATGTGACTGTATTGTCCATCCGTTGGCTTGTTTTGTGTTAGTTTCTAAAGCATGAAGATATGTGCGCGTATGTGCGTGCATGTATGTGTGTGTGTGTTTGCATATCTCTCTCCATCACAGAGGGGAGGCTCCTTTTGAGAAAGCTTTTTGCCGAATGTCATTTCTTTTAATCTAACAGCTTTGAGTGGCCGAATAATAATAGGAATTAATATGCAGCACTGCTATTGCAAGTGACAGAGACAGAGCAAGATTCCAGCATCCTGCAAAAACCATTTTCACTCACAGCATAGATCTTGATGAGAAGATAACGTGACAGTCTTCACAACTCGAGTAAATGTACTGCCAAAATAAAAGCTGTTGCTACCTTCTTCTTTTTTTTAAAGTAACCTCTGGATCCGCCTGATTAATCAGTGAGACAGCAATGGTAGCTTTCTTCCTTTTTTCTGTTATTGGTAGTGAACTTGGCCTGCCTCGCATCACTCTGAATTACATGTTGCTCTCGCAGCGCACAAAAACAGAACAAATGCTTCCCGGTTGGTTTTTGTCAGACTCTAACAACACACGGAGGTTTGTGTCCTTTGCACAAGAGACTTCTGATTGCAGGTTAATGTGTGACAGCAGTGTAGCTTCTGTGAGAGTTAATCCATGCAGAGCAGCATGCAAGGGGGGGCTTAGGCCAGCTCTAATCCAGAACTGGACAGGAGTAGGAGAGTGGTGTAAGAGAGGGGGTTGGTAGGCAGATGTTGGTCAATGAACTCTGCCAGGCAACCAGAATTTCACTCAGTGTGCAAAAATAGATGGAGGAAGACATTCTTCAAATCTATGAAGGATGGCTTCATTAGAAAAAGAAATGACTCCTGCCATGTTTTCCTTTCTTCAGCCATCACCACCTAGAGTTTTAAGATGTTTTGTGTGGGAATTCATACTATAAACTGCAAAGTGACTCTTATCATTACATGCTTATGAAAACTGCTGTTTATGAAGCTTTTCAAACTGCTTTTGTTTTTAGATATTGAAAACTGATTGTGGCTCCTTATACACATAATAAAATACTTTGTCTTTGCACATTGCTACAAATTCTACCTCAATTTTGTGCTTGCTCAGTCCAATAAGTTAGCAGCAGAAGCAGAAGTGCAGCATGATTATATGACCGCAACCACGGGAAACTGCCTTCTGATTGTTATAGTGTAGCTAATTTAGCACTTACTGCTATTTTAAGTGAATACTTTACCAGGAAACTGACGTTGTAGGGATTTGAAGGAGCGAATAGCTCAATAGGCAAACCTTAGAGGACTTACTAGGTTGACTAAAAGCATCTGAAGACACTTTTCTGTCTGTGGAGTCCACAAGGTGGGGCTGTATCGGCCAATTTCAGTCATTTTGTGAAAGAGGCAGTATGAGGATTGTACCTGCTTTGCATTTGCACAGGGACTGGACTGCGGAGGTGTGTAAGAGTAGGCAGCGTTTCAACGTCTCTATAAGGTGCTTTTAATTGCTTCTAGTGTAAAAATGCAACACAAAGAATTCCTTGTGTGACTGTTTGAAAGTGTGCACCATTATATCCGACTTTACGGCTCATCATCCAGAAACTTGAAAGACTTGATAAAGTTAGTGTGGAAAGAGATTAGAGAATCAGCAGAATGCAGGGCGAGCAGATATGTCACCGAGCTTTTCACTCCTTAAGCAAACGCTGTGTGATCCTGGGCAGTCCCAGAGAAAGATGACCAACTGTGACAATGTCTTTGCTCGTGGCTCTAACACTGCGGTCCCGCGTTACACCGTGAGAGAGCTTAAAAGTTAGCCGTTCCAATGGTCTTGTGATGTAAGACAGCCTGGAACAATATTCTAACAGTGTTAAATTTAGGAGGGCTTTCACACAGTGTTGTTACAGCTATGACCTGTTAAGCAACCATTAACAATGCAGCATGAAATGACTTGAAGATCATTGAGTCTTTATGTAAGATCAGAAATATATAAATTCTATATAAAGTTATACAAGGTCAGAAAAGTGAAGCCAGTGCCGAAGTGCTTTAAACTTGCATTTTTCCAGCAGCGAATGAGTCTTCTGGTGGTCAGAAGAAATCAGATTTTTAAAATAAATCTATGAGAAAATGACCCTGTGGTGACTTTTTGGTCTCTTCCACTAGTTTCTCGTCTTGTTTAAAGCAAGAAAATGCTCATTGTATGAACTAAGAGTGCATAATGGGTTAAACAGAAGATAAAGAAGTGTATGCTTTAGTGCTTTGCTATGATATTAACATACAGCGTCCATTGGTTTCTCACTAAGGTCCACTCATCGCTCACCCCACTCAGTGTCAAAACACCAAGATGGGGATCTCAAAAATGCTTCTTTCAAGACTTCAAAACACAACTTTATAAATCAAGTATGTAATATGTGGCTTCACCTGCAGTCCTTAAAAAAGTCATTGTACTGATTCATTAATACTGATAATAACTGCTGCTTTTCCTGCTTGCAGATTGTGCAGCGATCCCTTCATGAAAGCAATCATAGGCGGTGTACAGTGTTGCACACTTAACTTTTGAACTGTTAAGAGTATTTGTAGATCACTCCATGTAACTGATACTTGATAGGATGCATATACTTAAAATAGTGAATCTGCAAAATATGGAAGTATGTGTACAAACTGGTCATGATTACCTTTACCACCTAAACGAAAGATCCACCCGCTCGGACCCGCTCTAATCCTCATATCCAAAGATGTTCTGCTCAAGGCTTCAGAACAAGACTTTGAATCCAGTGAGTGAAGTTTATCGGGTTACATCCATCTTTGATATACAGTCAGTGGAAAACCTGTGCCACTGAAAAACCAACAAAAAGCACAATATACGAGGGTAAAATGAAATAAGAGTCCAAATTGCAAGAAAATGTAGTTGTGATGTGTCAACAGAAGCCTGGCTTCTCCGATGTGTTTTCCAGCTGTTATTATGACCTAGCATCAACTCATAAGACTACTGAACTCTCCATATGTAATGCCTTTGAAGTAAGACCATTCAGAATGAATTCATTTTGGAAGTCGATGAATAAAAAGCGATACGTCTAAGACTTACCGGAGTCTCACAGATTATCTATGCGACTCTGAAAAACAGATGCAACCCTTACAACATCTGGACTGAATGTGTGTTAGTTTTAATCTCTAATGCTTCTCGGTGATATTTGCATTAATTTTTTCCTCCAGAGCAGTTGCTATCCAATCTGTCCGAGATGCATGAAAAAGCTGCGGTGTGTTTGCTCTGTGCAACAGGTGGCGTGTTGCGGCATGCGTGTTACTGCAAGTTTATCAAAGAGGACTGGGTGCACGGTTCTAATCATGTCAGCTGAGGATTGGTCACACTGCAGGTTTATTCAAACATCAAACCCCAGCTTCCCTCCACCCTCCCTCCTAATAGGGCAATTAGACCCAAACATCTGCCGGTGTATAGTCTTAATGATTTTGCAATCACCTGAAGAGTCATCAGTGATGCACGATAATTACAATGTCAGCTCCACTTTGAAAAAAGAAAAAGAAAAAAGAGAAAGGCCAAACAAGGAAGGAGTATGAAAAGTATAAAGTATGTTGAATGCATTATCCAAAGTATGAGTCATCTGTATGCTTGTCACCAGCCTCAACTACTCTCTAATGAACGTAGGCACTAAAATATATAATTAAGAAATGAATAACAAGTAGCTGTTTGGGTCTGATGCAATGTCTTAAATAATCCCAAGCTGCTTCTTCTGCTGCTGCCATGGGAGTTTCAAAGGAGATAAAGAAGCATAATACTGCTGCAGCGGCTCACAATCTGCTTTTAGAAAATGCGTCATGGGTTCTGTATATTGTATAGAAAAAGACACACCAAAACACTGCAACAGTACAGGTGATGAATGCATGTGCTGTCTGGCTCCGATCTGCTGTTGCGTATGAAAGTTAATTCCGAGGTGACATTTTCAAACATGGAAAACGATGACCCCATACTGGGATGCCTGCAGCAGCTCCAGTGATGATTCATATTGGAAATAACTCAGCAGGTTTTGGTGTCAATCTCAGAATCGCCGTTTCGGTGTTGTCAGTCACAGCCACAAGACAAATTATAGTTTACTGCAGTCGCGTGTGTTTTGGATTAAGATGAAAAACTGACTTTTTTTCCCCGTGTCTGGCAGCAAAAGCTACTGTAAATGCTCTTCACGAACTTGTGGCATTATGCTATAGGAAAGCATTTTGCTGGATATTAATTTTCTAGTCCAGTCAAGGCCTTGTGTGCAAAGAAAATGAAAGGACATTCATAAAAGCGAATGTGAATCTCGAAAATGTTAATCAACGTGCAATGACAAATAAGCCCTTGAACACCGTACAAACATCATGGATTGATGTGCATCGCTGTGGATGGATTTTTGCTTTAAGCTACC